ATTTCCTATCTATTAGATCATATCAGTCAGAAACTCAAAATTTTAAACTTTATTCTGAAGCATAATTTGCCACCATAGAACATTTCAGAATTAAAAATAACCCATATACTTTCCAAAAATTGCTGTCATAACACAGAGCTTGTTTAGTAATGGAAAAAAATTACTGGCTAAGAAAAATTCATCAGAGGTCAGACAAGTGTTTTCCATGAGCAAGATGATTTCAGAGAAGTCAGGGAAAATCAAAGTGCTGTGATGGAACAGGAAGGTGACTGAGGAAAGACAATGGAGTCTGAGGGTGTAAGCAGAACCATAGCAGTGCTTAGTAATCTCAGCTGCCCAACTAAGTAAGCTGGCTGTTCAGCGATAGAATTTTGCCTGCTCTGATTGGATGTTGAGGCAATGCTTTTCCTTTTTGGCTATGCAGAATGTTATTGTTTTCCTGATGTTCCTTGACATAAATATTCTTTCTTCCTCTGTCCCTTTCTTTAAACTTGAAAATCATGCCATCCTCCGTCCACCAAGATGAAGGAACCTTAAACACGATATTGGAATCTGATCCTAGTTTGCTAGAGGATATGGAGTCAGCCCTGCCTGAGAGTCAATCATCACAACAATCTGCATTAAAGGATGCAAGTCTTAATTCTGAAGAACCTAAGAAAAATCTTACAACCGTACTAAATGAAGGCGAAAACAATAGTCTCTCAGAATTAAACAACTCGGTCTTTGATAAACAGTCCCGTAAAAAGAGGCAGGCTCCTATTTCATTGAGTTCAAAGTGTTGTAATGTAGGTTGTACCAGACGAGAGATTGCTAGATTCTGCTGAGATGAAGCTAATTGTGCATTACTCATCTAATGTTCACATGTATTCTCAATGACATGTTCATGATGATCTGTCACCCCACTGATGATTAGGATATGAAAAATTATATTGGCATTTGGGCTTTTCACTTGTGCAAGAAAATATTCCTGGCATTACTGTACTTTCTGCTAAAAATACTTTTCATACTGGAGGGACTTCTGCCTTTTTCATTAAAATTATAATTATGTTATTGTTATCAGTGCTGTTAAAGTCACAATAAAATATCATTTTAATCATACACAACAACTCAAGAAAAAATTTGAAAATAGGTATGCCTAGCAAAATGCTATTCTTGTGGTAGTGAGAAAGAACAACTCTATTAATGAAATCTGTATTTGATAAATTAAAATATTCCCCCACTCTTTTTCCTCCAGCCTAAATTCCCAAAATCATTTCATGGCTCAATATTAAGAAAACTATTTTAGTAGTAAATGAAATAAATAAAAATAACATACACAGTATATCTAACACTAGGTACATTAATTAGTTCAAAATATTTTTGTTGATATTAACTGTTAGAGCAGATATAGAAATAATCATCAAATGGAATTTTGATTGATCTTAAAAGATTTTTTTCTTTTAAGATATTTAAAGGATTAAGTAAGTAATTCCCATATTTCAAATTCCCAAACGTGCTTAATCATTAATCACTACTCCTTACCAAAGGCCACCTTCATCAATGGCTGCAAAACCTCAGAGGTCATAAGAGATCCTGGTCAAAGCTGGAAAGAGAGCTATTTGATATGGAAATTCCAAATCAGGATAGCTGATGGGGTTTAGATGTTGGGGTTCAGTCCTTACATATTAACCCAAAGAGATCTTAGAAGTGATAGATTTCACAATAAACAGATTTTCACTAAGGATTGAATCCCCCAAAGAACACTGTTGAAGAACTCCCGCCCTGGAAAAATGCAGACTTTCCCCAAGACTGACCAACTATGTCTGTCCAGTCTCCTCTTTTTCCTTTATCCTTTTTTTTTTTTTTAAGAAAACTATTTTAGTTTTCCCTCTAAGAATGGTTTTGAAGAGTTTTCCATTCAGTAGCACACCACAAGTGGCTAAGGAAAAAGATGCTTTGCATAGACACAAACAGGCAAACATTGCATTTTAAAGGGCAAGTTTATCAAGAAAAGGATAAACACATGCAATTTGCAGCAACATGGATGGAGCTGGAAGGGGTCATGCTCAGCGAAATAAGCCAGAAAGAAAAAAAAAAATACCGGATGGTCTCACTCATAGCAGGAATCTAGAAAACTTAAATAAGGGACCAGGAAAAAGAATAACTATAAGAAGGAAAATATCAAAATCAACAAACAACTATGAACCAGAGACACTCTATGGGGGGTGGGGGCGGGGAAAGGAGAGATTGGGGTCAAAATAAGGGGGTTGTAATTGTATGGGGAATATAAAAATGAAATTTAAATAAAAAACAAAACAAAAAAAAGATAAATGTCCCAATCAAATGGGACATTGAATCTAGTAAATTTAGTTGGAGCCACATGAACTCAAGCCCTTTCAAACTGGAATTCTTCATTTAGTTCTACTATTTATGATTCTCTAAAGTTAGCCACATAGAGAGGAAAATAGACAACTCAGTTTCATGTTACCCAAGAACTGACCTGGGCCTATAGATTTTCTACCACTGACCTGGGCCTATAGATTTTCCCTATCAATCTGTGCCTTAGGATATTTCCATAGTCGGTTTAACACCTTGTTTTAATAGAACTACACACTGCTATCATTTGACAATGATGAGCAGACCCTCTGAAATCAACAACAATCTAGAAATCAGAACTACTCTCAAATGGTGTTGGGAAAACTGGACCAGCAAAAGTATGAAACTAGACCACTACCTCACACCATGCACAAAAATCAACTAAAAATGGATAAGAGATCTGAACACAAGACCTGAAACCATAAAATATATAGATGAAAATATAGGTAAAACATTACAAGACATATCTCTCAGTAACATTTTTAAAACTCATCCACCAAAGCAAAGAAAATGAAGGAAAAGATAATCACCTGGGATTATAGCAAACTGAAAAGCTTCTGTCTAGCAAAAGAGATATTAACCAAAACAAAGAGACACCCCCGTGATTGGGAAAAAAATTTTGCACTCTATACGACTGATAAGGGATTGATCACAAAGATACACAGAGAACTCACAACTCAATAAAAACCAAGTAAACAATACAGTCAATAAATGGGCAGAACTTAAAAGATACTTTTCCAAAGAGGAAATGCAAATGGCTAACACGCATATGAAAAAATGTTCAACATCCCTCATAATCAGGAAATGCAAATCCCTCGTAATCAGGGAAATGCAAATCAAAACCACCTTACACCAGTAAGAATGGCACATACCAAAAAAACTAGCAACAACAAATGTTGGCAAGGATGTGGTGAAAAAGGAACATTGCTGGTGGGAGTGCAAACTGGTCCAACCACTATGGAAAGCTGTGTGGAGGTTCCTCAGTCTACTGAAAATGGAACTACCATATGACCCACCAATTCCACTCCTAGGGCTCTACCCAAAGGACACAAACACACTGATTCAAAACAACACCTGTACCCCTATGTTTATTGCAGAACTATTTATAATAGGTAAAACTTGAAAACAACTCACATGCTCAAAAATAGATGACTGGATCAAGAAGTAGTGCTGTATACACACAATGGAATACTATTAAGCAATCCAAAAAGATAAACTCATGCCATTTGTAGCAACATGGATGGAGCTGGAAGGGATTATGCTCAGTGAAATAAGTCAGAGGAAAAAAGAAAAATATCAGATGATAATATTTATAGGAGGAATATAGAGTAAATAAAAACATAGGGTAAATAAAAAGTAAAAGCCAAAACCTGTAGGCACCTATAGATTTGAGGCTTAAAGCAGGGGAGGGGGAGGGAAAAGGGATCAAAACAGGGTTGGGAAGAGCACAAGGACCATGGTGATGGTTCACAGGTGAACTGCTGGTGGGAATTTTATGGAACTACACCTGAGGGGAGAAATCAAATACTGTAAAAATATGTACAACAATGTAAAACATTAATTAATTAATGAAAGAAAAAAAGAAAGAAATTCAATCTTTTTGTGTTCTGGATTATATCTGCTTTCAACTCCAAAGCAGTGAAAGTTAATACTAAATGGTGAAGGACTTGAGGCAAAAATGAAAATGTGGCAAAGAAAAATCTCTATTGATGTCTCCAAATAATATCTTTCTGCCATAATATATGATATGGACCTGTTACTGCAAATGGATCTGTTAGGGGGAAAAGGATGTCCTAAGCTAATTCCATACAGGCTTTGTGGACTCCGCCCTCACTCCAGACCAAAACCATCAGGACACTGGGAAAGACAAATCCCATCACCACCAAAGGGAGGGTGGCTGGGACCTGAGGGTGGAGTTAAGCAGCCAGGTTTGGTATAAAACCAGACACATGGGCCTTGGGGGGCTCCTCTTGGCTATCCGCCAGCTCTCAGCTCTCAGCCAGCTCTCAGCCTGCCATTGGGTTTACAGGTCAGCAGAATGGGTAGGACGCATTTAAGACTTTCTTTCCCTATTTTCTCCCTGAGTTGTACATTTCCTCATTTCCCTTTCCCTTGTAAATAAACCTTTTATTAACCTTTTGTGTGTGTCTGCAGTGGTGTATTAATAAGTCCTTTTAAACGCGTGGGTGAAGACCCACAGCCAGGCAACCCGTTTTATATCGGGGCTGCCCTGTAACAGATCTATATTTGGAGTTAAGTAAATATGGAAGGCAAAATTACTTCAGTGCAAGTTGTAGTAAAGTCCAATAAGATGTATGTGCATTCACAAACATATAGATCTTTCCTTACATGTGATATAATAAGCTGAACATATTTTTGAGACTTGAATAGAATCTCAGAATTCATGCAGGCAAGACCTCCTGACACAGAAAAATAGTATCTATCCAGATTATTTTCGGGAAGATTTCATTGCCATGGTGATGGTTAGGGGTAGCTGCCAAGATGTTTTAGTCAAAGGCTACTGATACTAAGAAAAAAAAAATCAAAGCAATTGAAGAATGAAAATCCATCAGAAAAACAGATTATTAACTTCATGCTCAGATTCAAAAGATGAGTAACTCCTTTTGTCTTTTATTTTGTCTCAGCTGGAAAGGCAGCTAACGATGCAGAATGAAATGAGAGAAAGACAAATGGCCATGCAGATTGCTTGGTCTCGGGAATTCCTCAAATATTTTGGAAGCTTTTATGGCATTGCAGTCATCTCTTTAACAACCGGGTATGTTTGCCATTTACTTTTAAATTTCCTTAAATAATTTATTTGTGTGTTTGTAATTATATTATTATTAAGGTGTCCAATATAGGACATTGGTCCAACTAGTGCACATAAACAAAGGAACCACAAATAGTTTAGTCCTTGGGGTAGAACCAGATTAGTAACAGAAAATTCTGCCTTTAATTTCTTAGGTTTCTCCTGACCTTTTCCCCATTTTCTAAGTTAGAAAGAGGATGACTTGACACTAAGATAGAAGCAATCTCCTAAAAATTTATCTCCATAATCCCTTGATGGTAAATATGAATACTTAACTATTTTTAAATGAGTAATCTGAGCCTCAATGTCAAATAAAGATGAACAAATCAGAGACCCTGCCTTACAAACTGCAGAATCTCATGAATAGTTATGGATAAGGAAATCCTATTTCCATAAAAGATTCAAATGAATTAAATAACTTCTGAAATGGAGAACTTTCTTCCAAAAACCAGGTATGCTTTTAAAACTGAGTATATGGATATGTATTTGAAGGTTACTCCTTGATATTCATTCATTTTTGTTCTTGAAACAGAGCAATAAAAAAGAAGAAGCCAGTCTTCCTCTTCCCTATTGTTCCATTAAGCTTCATCCTCACTTACCAGTATGACATGGGCTATGGAACCATTCTACAAAGAATGAAAGGTAAGTCTTTGATTAAGCCACAGTCTCTATTTCCTGATTCATTTTCTGGTTCAAAGATCTCCTCTTTTTTTTTTTTTTTTTTATAGAGGCATGTTTTATTTATTTATTTATTTATTTATTTATTTATTTATTTATTTATTTTATTTGTTTGTTTGTTTTGTTTATACATGCACTGGGTACAGTCAGAAGTGCGGGAGGTTGAGAGAATTCATCAGAGCCAGAGCGGGGAGCAGAGCAGGCAGAAGGACTGAAGTACACTGCTGAGGGGAGCAGCGGACGGCAGGAGAGGTCTGCGTACCATGTGGGATCCTCCTCCGGTGGCCGGGGAGCAGCCGGGGATCGAACCGGCGCCGCAGAGGCCGCGGGCAGCTTCGCAACCCAGCGCTCAACCGCTGCGCCACCGGGGAGGCCCTCAAAGATCTCCTCTTTATGATCCCTTGATTTATGAAGATACCCCCAAACTCCCAATGATCAAAATTTCTATTTCCTCTCAAAAAGTTGTATGCTTTTTGAGCTCATACCAGTTTACAAGAACCAACTGTCAAATTTTCAGGAATTTTGTGAGCTTATTGTGAAATACAATCATTGTTAAAAATTAAATTATATAAACTTACAATTAAATAAATTACAAAAATAAATTATATTAAAAACAATGGTAATAAGTAATCATACTAAGTTATATATATCTATACTCTTAAAGTTATGAATATCTATTGTATATGTATGGTGACATAATAAAATACAGATACAACTCTGACAGATACAGCAATGACAGTCCATTGGCAGCTTGAACTTGGTCATAGTGAGAATGTTTACACCATGGAAATCTACAAATGCCAAATAAAGGCTTAACTTATTATTTTGTTAACTGTTTTTAGTAGGTTTGGGAAACTTTTGCCTGCAGGCTAGTTTTACTGGAACACAGACTTGCCCATTCATATATTAATTGTCTATGGCTGCTTTCCAAGACTAAGAGAGTCCAGTCATTGCAACAGGGTCGTAAGGCCCCACAAGTCTAAATATTTACTGCCTGGCAATATAAGGAAGTTTGTCAACTCATGGTTGAGACTTAAGAAAGTGATGAAGAAAAAGTTAATAATGCAGATTATGCTTAAAAATTTTATTGTATCCCTAGCCATTACATTGTGAATAGCATAAAAATTTAAAGAAATGCTTTCTCAGTATTTAAAAACTGTTCCATGATTTTTGTTGTTGTTGCTACTGCTGCTGTTAATTTTTTTGATGTACCATAGTTTTACATCCGTGTTAGTGTTTGGAAAGTATAGGATTTACCCCCTCAGGTACAGTCATCATAGCTCTCCCACCACCAAATCACCCATAGTCCTTCACCACAGGCCATTATGCTTTCTCCCCTTTGACCCCCCTCCCTCTGTCTGATTTAGCAGAGTTGGTCACATCATTCTCAACTAGTACATGTCCAACATGTCATTGTTTCACTTTTGTCCTACTCATCAAATATAAATGAAAACACCAGGCATTGCTCAGGTTGGAAGTATATTCTCTTACCAGCTGCAACCATAGGCTTGCTGTGAACATTAGAGTTCAGCAGAGCCTCCCTGGTGGCACAAGAGCTAAGCACCATACTATGAAGCAATCCGCAGCCTCTGCATCACGAGTTCGATCCCTGGCAGGCCAGGGAGCAACCCACATGGTGGAGTAGACCTCTCCTGGCTCGCCCACTGCTCCCCTCAGCAGTGTATTTCAGTCAGTCTGCCTGTTCTGTTTCCCAATCTGTCTCTGGTGAATCCTCTCACCCCCCACACCTCTGGCCTGTACCCCAGCTCTTGTATGCATAAATAAATATATCTTTTTTAAAAAAAAGAGTTCAGCAAAAGTCATGAAAACATTTTGTGAGTCAAATTGGTGCACAATTTATGATAAAGTATATTGCACATTTTATTATGTACCAATTGTGTGCTTCATATATGTCTTATAAGTAAGATTTATAATAAGCTTACAAATCTAATAAACATATATATATATATATATATATACATACACACACATATACATAAAAATGTATTTTCCCTCACACCCTTTGGAGAGCTGGTTCTTAAATATTCACCAGCATCTGTCACAAAATCTTGACTTTTACTGCCCTAGAAAATAGCACTGTTGCCACAGAAACCATTCCTAATCCAGGAAAATAAAATTGCCGTGTAACATAGGACATCCATGTCTTCCAAATTCCCATCAACTCGCTGGGAGCTACATTCTCCTTAGGATCCTTGTGTCCCCACTTCTTGAGCCTTTTACTCAGAATATATTAGAAACCTCTATCCTAAGCCTTTATTTTGCCATCTTTTCTCTCCTGGACTATCGGCTTATCAAACCATCCTTTAAGCTTTGTGGAGACTGGTTCTGTATGGGAAAAGAAGCACAGACTCCTTTGCAGGTATTGGGAGTAGAGAAGATTGTAATTCTAAAATTTTCCATTTGAAAATGGAAATACATTTTCTACATAGAAACTGTTATAATGTCCTTTGGGGTTGGCACTTCTGGTATCATAGTCCAGCTCTATGGTGGTTTTTTTGCTGATGATTTAGAAATTGATTTATAGCATTACTACTATGAGAAAATATACTTTACCATTTATAGTAAAATCCATTTTAAGTTGGAAACTACACAACTGATTTACTAATGTTAAAATTCATTTCCATAGGGCCTCCCCGGTGGCGCAGCGGTTGAGCGCTGGGTTGCGAAGCTGCCCGCGGCCTCTGCGGCGCCGGTTCGATCCCCGGCTGCTCCCCGGCCACCGGAGGAGGATCCCACATGGTGCGCAGACCTCTCCTGCCGCCCGCTGCTCCCCTCAGCAGTGTACTTCGGTCCTTCTGCCTGCTCTGCTCCCCGCTCTGGCTCTGGTGAATTCTCTCACCCTCCCACGCTTCTGACTGTACCCAGTGCATGTATAAACAAAAAAAACAAACAAACAAACAAATAAAATAAATAAATAAATAAAACATGCCTCTATAAAAAAAAAATAAAATAAAATAAAATAAAATTCATTTCCATAACCTTAGTTTCACTTTACTCATCTCTGTATCATTATCACTATGTATCATTATCTATGTGTCATTACTTATGTGGACATTAGAATTCTCAGTACCACATAAAAATTAATAAATAGTACTGAGAGATGCCAACTCTGTAACACAACATTCACTGGAACATATTACTAGTGGAGAACAAGTTTTTTGTGCTTTTTTTTTTTTTTTTTTAAAGATTTATTTATTTATTTATACAAGCACTGGGTATAGTCAGAAGCATGGGAGGGTGAAAGAACTCACCAGAGCCAGAGCGGGGAACAGAACAGGCAGACTGACGAAACACACTGCTGAGGGGAGCAGCGGGAGAGGCAGGAGAGGTCTGCGCACCATGTGGGACCCTCAATGGCAGCCCGGATCGAACCAGTGCTGCAGAGGCTGCGGGCAGCTTCACAGTCCAGCACTCAACCGCTGCGCCACCAGGCAAGGCCCAAGAACAAGTTTTGATAGGAACATTTTGTTGTTTTTTTTGTGGTTTTTTTTTGATGAGTCACATTTTTTTCCAAGTTTTTTTAACATTTATAATTTTTTACATTTTTAGACAATATTTGCTTCCCCCCACCCCCTCAGATTGAGTCCCCATAGAATTTCCTTCCCCAAGGCACCCATGCACCATCACCACAGTACTCTGTGCTCCTCCCTCTTTCCCTCTTACTCCTCTCCCTCCTCCTCCCCTGCAGTATGTCTCTGGTTTATAATTGTCTGTTTTTGCTTTGTTGCATTTTGCACTGTAATTTTTTTTTTTTTTTACCCTGATGTCTTATTTGGTTCACCTATATTCCTGTTATAAGTGAAACCATCCGATATTTTTCTTTTTCCTTCTGGCTTATTTCACTGAGCATAATTCTTTATAGCTCCATCCGTGTTGCTGCGAATGGCATGAGTTTATCTTTTTTTTTTAAAGATTTATTTGTTTGTTTGTTTGTTTGTTTATACAAGCACTGGGTACAGTCAGAAACATGGGAGGGTGAGAGAATTCACCAGAGCCAGAGTGGGGAATAGAACAGGCAGATGGACAAAATACACTGCTGAGGGGAGCAGTGGGCAGCTGCGCGCCACGTGGGACCCTCGCTGGCGGCTGGGGGTCAAACCGGTGCTGCAGAGGCTGCAGGCAGCTTCGCAGCCCAGCGCTCAACCGCTGCGCCACCAGGGGAGGCCCGAGTTTATCTTTTTTGATTGCTGAATAATATTCCATTGTGTATATATACCACATCTTCTTGATCCAGTCATCTATGTTTGGGCATTTGGGTTGTTTCCAGGTTTTACCTTTTGTAAATAGTGCTACAATAATCATAGGTGTACAGGTGCTCTTTTGAATAACTGTTTTTGTGTCCTTTGGGTAGATCCCTAGTAATGGAATGGCTGGATGTATGGAAACTCCATTTTTAGTAGACTGAGGAACCTCCAGACAGCTTTCCACAGTTGTTGGACCAGTTTGCACTCCCATCAGCAATGTAGGAGAATTCCTTTTTCACCACATCCTCACCAACATTTGTTGTTCTTTGTTTTTTTGATATGTGCCAATCTTACTGGGGTAAGGTGATATCTCAGTATGGTTTTGATTTGCATTTCCCTTATTATAAGAGATGTTGAACATTTTTTCATATGCCTGTTGGCCATTTGCATTTCCTCTTTGGAGAAATGTTTGATAGGAACATTTTGACAGTATATATTTGAAATAATCCTGTTTCAGGTTCATCATAGTCTACAGAATATAAAATTTTAAACTTTCAAAGCATGGTGTGGGGATTTCCAGTAAAAAAAATACACTTCAGAATCCACCAGGAAACTTACCATATTAGAAATTTAGGTTATAACAAATAACCTGTTAAGTTGTGAGAATCTCAAGAAATACAATCCTTACTTGATTGAATTTATCATCATCCATTCTGGAAACACAATGAGAATTTGCCATATGCAAAGCACTCCCATGGAAACATCTAGTCCCTGGGAACATCAATAGTCTGCCTAATTTTACACTTTTATAATGCTTTTTACTTGCTATTTAAGACTAAGGGGGTGGGGGAAGAAAAGATAGTTGCAGATGGTGGAAATACTATTGCAATTTGAAAACTGTAGCCTGCCATGTTGGGCTTGGTGTGTAAACTATTTGTATAGTTTATATAGCTGAAAAAAAGGCGTGCTTAAAAAAACATTTATGTTCATTTCCAACGAAAGTTTATGGAATGTCAACAATGCATACTATAATATTTAAATTTTTGCTTTTAGCTGTCAATAATAAAATTTGAGAAATGCCTCTGGGTCCAAGAAATTACTAGTTGTTACTGAAAGCAGAATTGTGTATAAAAATGTGTATATATGTGCTTGTATATGTAATGAGTAAAAAAAAAACACTATTTTTTTAACATGTTTAACCTTTTATTTTTATTTATTTATTTATTTAATTTTATTTTTATATTCCCCATACAATTGCAACCCCCTTATTTTGACCCCAATCCCTCCCCTCCCGCCCCCTACCCCCCATAGAGTATCTCTGGTTCATAGTTTTTTGTTGATTTTGATTTTCACTTTCTTATAGTTATTCTTTTTCCTGGTCCCTCATTTAAGTTTTCTAGATTCCTGCTATGAGTGAGACCACCCGGTATTTTTCTTTTTCTTTCTGGCTTATTTCGCTGAGCATGATCCCTTCCAGCGCCATCCATGTTGCTGCAAATTGCATGTGTTTATCTTTTTTGAATGCTGAGTAATATTCCATGGTGTATATGTACCACATCTTCTTGATCCAGTCATCTATTTTTGGGCATTTGGGTTGTTTCCAAAGCTTAGCTACTGTAAATAGTGCTGCTATAAACATAGGGGTGCAGGTGCTCTTTGGAATTGATGTTTCTATGTCCTTTGGGTAAATACCTAGGAGTGGAATTGCTGGATCATATGGAAATTCTATGTTTAGTAGGTCCAGAAATCTCCACACAGCTCTCCATAGTATTTACAAGTGCTTTCAGGTCAAATATTAGCTTTCCTAAAATACTACAAGTTTTAGTAAAGTTTACTTTCTCTTATGCCACATGATATATTAAGAGGCAACAGGGAGAAGTATCTGGTTTCTCTACCCTGAACACCTTCAAACACAGCCAGTACTTATACTGACTTTTCTACAAGGAAAAAAAAAAAGTATTACTGGGTCTTTCTCTTCTACTTATTAAAATGATGTTTATCTATCAAAACCTTTAACATCTGATTTTTCCCTCTGAGTCTTCAGGATTCTGTACTGTGTTTCCTTTCAGAAGTCACCTCTCCTAAGGGCAATGGGTAAAATACTTAACCTTGAAATTAAGGGGCATGCCTCCACATAGTTTTACAGCTTGTCCCTGGAACATAAAAATTAGACCTTCTTACAAAACATGGATGGCCCTTTTGTTACCTTCTATATTTCTATACTTTATTTAAGGTGAAGCTGAGGACATACTGGAAACAGAAAAGAGAAAGCTACAGCTACCAGGAGGAATGATCACATTTGAAAGCCTTGAAGAAACCAGGAGGAAACAGAGTAAATTCTTCATAGATAAATGAAATCATGTTTACCCACCAAATCTCAAAACACAGAACTGCTGACTTGAATCATAGTTTTTACAATTTTTCAAATGTTCAAGAATTTTATATAATGAATTTTAAGATATTAAAGTATGAGTTTTTATTAATTATAAAATAAAATTTATAACATTTAATATAAAATCATGGAGATACTGTTAATAATTTTCAAATTTCCTGCTTATGTGTGCATTACAAATATCTAAAAATGAAATTGTAAAATTAATAAACTATATTATTTTTAATTCATGGAAACAAATGTCCTAATACTCTTATTTCTCTGCCACACTATCCTACTGAGAAAAGAGTGTAGATTATGGGGAGTAGGGATGAGAAATGTCCTGGGGCAACTCCTACATAATTTCCCAAGTGTTTTTTAAAATGTGCAGATGGAGTCACTTATTGGCTAGGGCATCCAGTGTTAAGAAGACTACCTGAAGCTTGGCCAGCTTTGCTGATAGCTGAGTTTAGTCTTTTATCAGTTAAAGGGTGGAAAGCATCAACAATCCACTGAATGTAGCTCTATCATGTATATGATGATATTGTCATCCATAAAGCATATAAACTCCCATTATTGTTTACTTAGTTGACCCTAAGGGACTGTCCAGGTAGACAAAGGATATGGAAGAGGTTTGACCTACTCCAGCATCCTGGAAACTGGCAAGAATCTGAGGACAAGGAAGAACAATTTGGCCTTCAGGTGCAGGTTTGCTTCCATCCTGTAACAAATAGGACTTGGTAGTCATTTGAGCTTGTAGGGTGCTACCTATTGGCCTAATGGGCAGCTGGGTTTAGAAGGTCACAGGCTCAGAGTATATGAGAGACTCTTTCTGGAAGAGGCCATTAAGTGGCCAGCAACTGGTATTCTATTAAAGTGCAGGACCTAGAAAGACAAGTTGTTGCATCAGAAGCTCATGAGCAAGTACTGGCTAAATAGGTGGCTCAGAGTTTCCAGGAGATATGAGAAGAGGTTACTACCAAATAAGAATCATTTTGTAAGAACAAGTCAATAATTTGTTCAGTGAGTTTTAAAACCTTTATTGTTAGTTTCTATTTTTTTATTAATAAATTGTTAGCTAAATGTTTTCCTGAACAATATGTGCAGAAATAATACTGCACTCCTTTCAAAAATAACATACCTATTTAATTAGAAGATGTCTATAGAAGTGAGATCCTAGCCCAGAGGTCAGTGATTACTTGGTGTCTGTATGTATTCAGGTCATTTAGGCTATTATCTATTCTTTAGAATCCTGAAGCTAAAGTTTTTGTGGGTTCCACAATGTTTCAAAACAAATTTAAAAAATAATTTTAATGAAAGGGTGCACACAGGTAACAAAAACAAAATTAGACAAGTGGGACTACATCAAACTAAAAAGATTGTGCGCCACATTTGAAGTAATCAACAGTGAAAAAGGCAACCAATGGATGGGAGAAAATATTTGCAAATCATATTATCAATGAGGGGGATTAATTTTCAAAATATAATGGACTCATACAACTCAACAGACAAAAAAATTCCCCCACTATCCCAATTCAAAAGTGGTTCAGCTACTTGAATATATATTTTCTGAAAACAAACAAATGGCCAGTATGTTTAAGAAAAACTGCTCCAGGGGCCTCCCTGGTGGCACAGCGGGTTGAGTGTAGCTCTGTGAAGCTGTCCACAGCCTCTGCAGCGCGTGTTCGATTCCCGGCCTGCCAGGGAGATTCCCACATGGCGTGGCAGACCTCTCCTGCCTTGCCCGCTGCTCCCCTCAGCAGTGTCTTCCATCCGTCTGCTCCCTGCTCTGTCTCTGGTGAATTCTCTGATCCTCCTGCGCCTCTGACCTATACCCCCAGTTCTTGTATAAATAAATAAAAAAATCTTTAAAAAAAAAAAAAGAAAAGATGCTCCAAAGCACTAATCATTTAGGAAATGCAAATCAAAATCACAATCAGGTATCACTTCACGCTGTCAGGATGGTTCTTATTCAAAAAACAATATAGATTTTGATTTACAATGTTGCACACATGAAATATTTATAATGTCATAAAGCAATGTATCTTCAATATTATTTCTTTTTTAAAGGACTGGTGTCACTGAAAATCTGGAGAACTTGAAACCCTGTATACCATTGTTGGGAAACAAAATGATACCCGTCATGCCAGGATGGTCACAGAGCAGGTTTTCTAGGATCTGAGCAGACAGGCGGGTAAAGGAGGAGTCCTGGAGATCTCAGTGGCTTTTGCTGGCTTTTATTGAGCTTTACATGCATTGCAGCAACTAGATACGTGGCACGCAGGGGTGCCCAGGGGCCAAGAGGCCGGTAGGCCTCCAAGCCCCAAGCAAGCCTTTACTCTGGGCTTCTCTGGCCTTCTTTCTGGCCTTCTCTCTCCTGCCCCTTTCTCTCTTACTTCTCTTTTGCTTGGACCTCTCTGGGTAACTATCTCCATACTCTTCCCATGGCCCACTGAAGTACACACGACAGCTTGCAACAATGTAACAACTACAGGTACCCCATCAGGCAGGGCAATCCTAATGGTAGGAGGGCAGAAAAGCCTGAAAACCATTTACCCTATAATACCATTACTGTAGAAAACAGTAGGGAGGTAAGTAAAAAAGAAAAAAAAGGAATCATCACATATGAGCCAGCAATTTCAGTTCCAAGTATTAATGCAAAACAATCTCAGGGTCTTGAAGAGACATTATTAATCCCACACTGATTGTTATTCACAATGGTCAAGAGATGGAAACAGCTTAAATATCTATCCACAGAGGAATGTATAAAGAAAATAAGGTATATACATACATGGAATATTACTAAGCTTGAAAAAAGGGAATCCTCTACTATGTCACCACATGGGTGAAGCTGAAGGAGCTTAAGCTAAGTGAAAAAAGTCTGTCACAGAAGGACAAATATTGCATGATTCCATTTATAAGTAGCCAAAAGAGTCAATCTTATAGAAGTAAATAATAGAATAGTGGCTGCCAAAGACCAGAGGGAGAAATGAGGAGTTGCTAATCAACATGTATAAACTTCAATCATGCCACATGAATTGGTTAGAAATTGAATGTATAATATTGTACTTACACAAATAATCATGCTGCATTGGACACTTAAAAATATTTTAAAACAAATCTTTAAGTGCTCTTAACAAAAACAAAGAAGACAACTTGATTATATTTTGTGAAATTTTAGTAACCTCAACAGTATTTCCGGGCCTCCCCGGTGGCGCAGCGGTTGAGCGCTGGGTTGCGAAGCTGCCTGCGGCCTCTGCAGCCGGTTCGATCCCCGGCTGCTCCCCGGCCGCCAGAGGAGGGTCCCACATGGCGCGCAGACCTCTCCTGCCGCCCGCTGCTCCCCTCAGCAGTGTACTTCGGTCCTTCTGCCTGCTCTGCTCCCCGCTCTGGCTCTGGTGAATTCTCTCACCCTCCCACGCTTCTGACTGTACCCAGTGCATGAATAAACCAAACAAATAATAAATAAATAAATAAATAAGACATGCCTCTAGAAAATTAAAAAAAAAAAACAAAAAAACAGTATTTCCAAATAAAAAGCTTTTAAAATTATCACCAGAAAAAAAAAGTGCAAAAAACACCTATGGCGCAAGTCATGCAACTCATGCTGTCTGACAAAAGCCCAGGCATGGGGAAGATTCCTGAAAGGTCAGGACCAAACCTCAACAGCTGACTCCTGCTAGATTCTTCTTGTTTGTTTATGGCTGATTCTTCTGTATGTGACAATTGTTAATATATGCATTTAAAAAGTAAAACTGCTAGTGCTGTGTGACCAAATACTAAATAACTATTTGAGGACAACGGCACTTTGACACAAACAGTACATTTTGAAACAATTGGTATTTCTCTGCTTGGAGGCAGTGATTCAAATTTTGGTTTTACAATAACAAGTGATATGTCACACCTAAAAACTTCTGGGAACTAAAGGCTGTAAACATTCCCAGCCAAGTCTTTGATAGAGATTTGTGGTCTTTTAAGGCAAGGGCCATATGGAGAGGGAAATTCTTTTGCTTTGAAGTTAGAGATAGCAGTTAGTTGACAAGCAGTTAGTTGTGTTTTTTGATTTTTTTTAATGATTAGCTATTTGTATTAAATTAGAATTATGTGATAGATTAGTTATGGGAATAGAAAATTTTTGATTTTTGCAGTAATTATGTTTTTTGATGTTTAAGATTTGGAATTTTCATAAAAATTTTGATTAATTAGTCATTTAGAGTTTATAAGGAAGTTAGCCTTTAGTCATATAAGTTTTGTTGTTTGCTGGTTTTAATATTAACAGAATATTTACTGGGTTGTGGAAAATAAAAGATTGTTATGAGGACGTTTTGTGTGGTAACTGTATTTACTTTTAGAACAAAGTGAAGTGATTATTATCACCTCAGCAAGAGATCATAAGACCCCAGGCTGTTCTTGAAAAAATGCCATGATTGATTAGTCTTTTACTTGAAAGTACACGCTTATGTACTCCCACGGTTTGCTTGAAATGTATAAAAAAAGACCCGCTGAGACCCTCAGCAAGAGATATTTGCACCTCAACCGAAAGTCTGTGTCTCCTCATTCCCTCATCCCCTCAACCCTCCATTTCACCTATGCCTTCTCTTCCTGCAGGGACCCTGACATGACATTTAGCTGGAGCTGGCTTCTGGCACACCAATGAAAAAAATGTAATAGAAACTACAGTTATTTGCTCTGGTTCATTAACTGGCTTAAAATATATAAAAAGGTACTATCAAGTTTGCTTTGAACTCAGTAAGGCCCCAATGAGGAAACATAAGTTAGAGCTAGGACAGAATTTCTCATGAGAGATTGCATTAAACTTAGGATGTCTCTCACAGGAAAAATGCAAAGCTCTGGATACTAATAAATGGTATAAATTCCCATTTATCACTGCCACTTTAGAACTTGAATGAGAGACAGCATTAGGAGGAAATACAAAATGCTACAGTATTGTTTTTGTTGAAGACTGCTGTTGACTGAAAGGGGAAAAACTGAGACTTGGTACAGAAGTCACAGGAAGTGTGACAGCCTGAGGCCATTCCTGCCAGCATAAGGGGGCCTGTTTTTCACTGATCAGTATGCATCAGTGCTTACCCTGTGATCCACTTCCACACTTAGACTGATAGTTCATAGCCTCATTGCTTTCTCAATCCAAGAGTGACATCTTATTAATAAATGAAAGCAACAGGT